TGTAGAGTTTAACTCTATTTGGACACACTTAGTTGTTCCTGAAGTGTGAATCTATCATCAGTTCTAGCTCTGAAAGTTCTCTGATCTTTTCTGGGAAATTAGTTAAATTCACACATCTGCAAGCAATGAAAATTATATTACTTCTCTATCTACTTTTCTACCTGGTAGCTAGTTAGTTTCTTTTAATACTGATTGTAAGACTTATCCTGATTTCAGAAGTATTTAAATGTGAAAGAAGTTGGGACTTATTTTTGAAGAAAATAAGTGGTTTCTAAAGTGCTACTGGAAAATAAATGAGGAAGTGATTAATTTTGCCTGGGAGAGGAGGTGACATTTGAGTTGGGTCTGGGAAGTTGAGTTGGAATTTCCCAGGCAGATAAGAAAGGTATTACCAGCTAAACTTCTATTATGGTGCTTATCCCAAGATAACCTGTTAATATTGCTGACTCTTACTAGCTTATAAATTCCTTGAGGTCACGAATCACTTTTATTTCCCAAAATGTCTATTTAGCTCATTATTCTGTCATTTAGTTTTGTTTCATATTTACTAATTTTATTCATATTTATATTTACTAACAAAATAGTATTTCTAGTAGCATAGTATTTCATTGTAAATACAGAGACACAAACAAATCCTGTGTAATATCACTACCAGAAGAAACCACTGTTAATATATTGGTGTATATGCTTCAATGCTGCTTCTATTCACATGCACCTATCTATCTATCTATCTACTTTTAAAGCAAAATGGTGTCGTAACATATTGGTTCATAATTTATTTTTATTTAACCACCCTATTAGAAATACCGATCATTGTTTGTCTACCCAGCCTCCTACTGAAGGAAACATGCCCAGCCCATATTTCTCTATCCTTAATTGGCTGTATCTTGTGATCACAGCTAGTTGAACTAAAGGATCAGCATCTGATCCAAGATCAGCCCACCTGCGGGTGCTCAGAGATGTACCCATAGGTGGAAAGATGAGCTGGATCCATCATATGCCACTCTATGGGTAAGGAATTGGGCAGCTGTGTTGATCTTCATTGGAGCTGATGGTGTAAGGATGCCATGACCTTCAATCAAGGCCGTGGTAAGCCAAGCAGAAATAAGAGTTGTGAAGGAACAGAAAAAATTAGAATAGATGAAGCTGGTTGTCAAAGAGAGGAAAGTACAGCTGTTCTGTGGAGAAGCAGAGATGCCCAGAGGAATGGAACCATGCCTTCAAGTTCCCCTTAGTCCTGTTTTTTCTTGCTGCAGTTCCAGTCCATATATACCTTTATAATAAATGCCCCCCTTCCAGCTGTTTTTCCTCTAGAGGTAAAACAAGTGGGTCTCTGTTTCCTGTAGCCAGTTACACCTGACCAGAACCACAAATCATCACCTGTTAATGGCTGTGTGTATAGGTGCCA